CAGAGGCAGCAATATAACATAGCTAACATTAACAGTGCAGTGAATCCTGCTTGTGCCGTGATATTCAGGACTGCAAACCGAGCAGCATCACTGACTTTCAGCTTGTTGTGTTTGTGGATATATGACTGACTTTAATTATCCACAAAATCATCACATTCTCTGTAAGATTAAGGTCGACTATTGGACGGCGTATAAAGTAAAGGCTCTAAAACCAAGTTAGTACAAACGTCACTAATGTCACAAACTTTGCCCACAGCCACAGGCTGATTGCCTCAATGCCACGGCGCATTGAAGCAGCGATTAAGGCAAAGCGTTTCCCAACCAAGTATTGAAGACTGATGTATCATTTTGAAAGTACCACATTTTGATTGATTTGATGTAATCCTAATTTCTTTCTTTTTTCCTGCAAAAACTGAGAACTAAACAGTGATGTCTTGACAGTATTCTCATTTTTTGAAATCCTGTTTTTGAGTTTTTTATGAGCTGGAAGCCCAAATTATGTACTTAAATAAACAACTAAGTACTTGGAAACCTGAATCTATAATATATGAAAGTTTAACGTTTTGAATGGAATTATGGAAATAAATAAACTTTTCCATGATATTCATTTTTTTGGAAAGGGTCTGTATATCTTTAGCCTCTTCCTTCTCGAACCTTCTTACTCAAAAAGTAAGAAGGTTATTATTAATTTATTATAATTATAATTTATTTATGATAAATTATAATTATAATAAATTAATAATTTATTTATAATTATAAATAAATTATTAATAATTATTATAATTTATTATAATAATTATAACAAATTAATAATATATTTATTATAAATATTAATAAGTTGTTTACTAATAATAATAATAATAATATATATATTATTATTTATTATTAAATATTTATTATTTATTTATTTATCTTTTATTTGTTTCAGCTGAATTAAAACAACAACATTTTTCTGTTTCACATGTCTGTGAAGCTTCTCAGTCATCCAGGTTGTCGTAGTCTAAGCTTGGAAAGAAAAGTGTCTGGATTTATTCAAGTTTCTTTGATATCATCTATTAAAGATACTAAGAAGCAAAATCACTGATAGTATGACAAAATGAAGACAGCATTTAAACACGTTCATGTAGTAAACTGGGCTGAGAGTGCTTCAATAAAATAGTTCTGGTGAACCTGCACTGTACAAATAAAACTGAAGTTTTTAGATGTTGTATATATGGCGTTGTTTATCTACTAGAGGGTGTGTTTCGTAGATGTAGCTGTGCTGTGTGGTTGAATGTGTTAAGAAACTCCAGATCAAATGGTGCTGGCCTCTGGGTGGCAGAGTTTAAGCTTGTGATCCTGTGGGATCAGCCTTGGTTTAATCCCTCAGAGTGAGAGAGAGAGAAGAAAGCGAAACGTACTTATTGATGTGGAGCGGTGCCTGAGGCACAGGGCTGATGAGAGAGCCCCATAACCATCTTACAGGGGGAATCTGGATTTTTCTTCTTGCTTTACTTTTAAATTTGGAACCTCGTGTCGCTCCTGCAGCTGTTACAGATGTCAAACTTTGGTAACCTTTCATCTTTACTTTGTGGAATCTGGACTCGTCTGAAAATCCTTCACCGTCAGAAATCCTGTGAGACTGTTTTCATTTGTTTTCCATCAGTGCTTTGATTTCCTCTGGGAGTGTAAGTTTTACTCTTCATACCCGTCTTTGAACTCTTCTAGAACCGGATCGTTTTCACAAATTTTACATGTTATAAAGCTGCACATTTATCCTGGAAACGTGGACACTATCATTTCTTTCTAAATAAGTTGTGTTATTTTCCTAATGGCTCAATTAAGTTGTAGCCAAAATGCAGACCTGCCAAATGGAGCCATTGCCCACAGCCCACAAGGTTTGTGTTCAGACCTGGATACACTCAGAATCAAAGACGACGCAGAGGAGGAAGAAGATGATGATGATGAGGTGGAGCTGGCAGAGGAGGTTGGGGAAGATGTTTTGATGGTTGCTGAAGCAGAACAAACTGGAGATGAAAGTAAAGAAGACGATGATTGGCAGAAAGGAGAGATTACACATGTGACCCTGTTATCAGAAATAGGGGAGGGGGAGGATGAATGTGAAGTACTGGAAGAAGAGGGGGATGGAGAAATGGGAGATGGACATCAAGAAATAACAACCACACTGACAACAGACAAAGAATCTGAAGATACAAAGATGGCTGAAAATCTGTCTCTTTCTCCTCTATTGGTTGTGGTTGAACGAGGGAAACGGCAAATATTAAACAGCAATGGAGATGATGAAAAAGACGAGGAAACTGAAGAAAACAAACAAGGTGGAGAAACAGCAAGCGCAGGAACAGATGTAAGGCAGGAAAACGTGGACGGAGGCTCCGACGATCACGCGTCCTGTCTTCAGGACAGAGGTACTTCTGTGTGGGAGTCAAGAACTGGTTCCAATACCTGTACTGGTGACCAAGGCGAAACAGAAGCTGCTGCTTTGCCCACTGCTGGCAACGTAACAGAGGTTAATCTGAACATAGAGGTGGATCCTTTTTCTTCTGGAATAAATGAACAGGCCAGCATCCAAGCTTCAGCTCTGGGCTCTGATCACATACCAGTCGATAGAGTTGTTACAGCTGAAGAGGCCAATCAAACCTACCAGTTAGATACTGAGAGTCCAAATGAAATAAAAAACAATGATGGAGAAGATCCCTCAGAATCCATGAAACAGGAGGTTGTTATTGATAATCTTACATGGCAATGCCAGGAAGTCCAGGAGTGTGTAAATCATGGCTACGAGTTCCCCGTGAGAGCAGGAACCAATCAAACGGCACAAGAACCAGAGCTGACGGCCCTAACTTCTGAAGAACAGCCACAGTCAGATGGAGACACTAAAGCTAAAAGGATTGAAGACGTCACCCAGAAGGAGCAAGCAGAAGAGCAAGTTAACAACCTGGCAGAGATGGACGGGGGAGGAAAGAGTTCAGAAATGGACGAGACGATAGCCAATAATGTTGCTGGAGAGTTAATGGGCCAAGAAGAGCACAGAACAAGAGATGATCTAGAAATGCAAGAAGAAGTCCAAGCTATAGCAGCTCCTCCAGAACCAGTGGGCCAGACTGGAGAAGAGGTACATACAGACACAAAGGACCAGGTGGAGGAAGCTTCTCTATCTGAGAAAGGCATCGAGGTGAAGCTTGACGGGACAGAAGGAGAGGACAAATCTGAGGAAAACGAATCCACAACAGAAGGAGGAAGTGCTTTACAAGAGCATCCTTTGCAGCTCCTGAAAGAAGCCGACACAGTTTGGAGAAACAACACAAAAGAACATCCACAGACAGAGATGCTTGTAGAGTTTGAGACTGGAGGAGGAGCAGAAGAAGAGTCAATGGAAGGAGAAGTGGAGATGGCAGAAGAGCCGGTCACCGTTCTTGATGATGAGACTGAAACGATGGAGGAGACGCCCAGTGAAAAATCAGAAGAAGTACATCCTTTCACCATTATGAGCGGTTCTGATGATGCCATAGAGAAGATAACAGATGAAGATCATCAAGTGCTGCCAGGAGACGAGGCCATGCTGGGTAAAGAGGACATGGAGACACAGGACGTGAAGCTGAAAGTGCACAACAGTGAGGCAGATCTAAATGAGAGCATTAAAACACTGGAGCAAACCATGGAGAATGGGTTCTTGTGTCCTGAGCCACAAGGTCTTAGGAAAGACGAACTGGGGAAAGTAAAAGTGCTGTCACCCAGGAGAAAAGATAGCGACTGGATTAAAACAGATCAGCCAGAAGAAGAGAAGACTGCTGCTGAAAGGAAGGACTGGAGTAAAGAGCGGCGGCACATCAAAAAAGAGTTGTGGGAGAATGAGTGGGGAAGGAAAGAGTGGGTGGATAAAGAAACGTCAGCAGAAAAGATCCGTTCACCGAGGAAGGCGGATTGGATAAATGAGCTGAAGTCAGTCATCAAAGACGAATCCCTGCCCAAAAAGAAAGACGAGCAGGTGAAGAAAAAGAGAGTGGTGCTGCTGGAACATGGCTGCTCATACGTCCCTCAGCGGGAGGCGATGACGGCAGAGGCGAGGGAAGAGATCAAGGTGACGTCCGACAGGAGAGCGGACAGTCCTGTGGTCCCTGTGGACAGCAAAACACTGGACAACCAACCCTATGAAATCGCCCTGTATGTCAAGGTAATCAACTCATGGTTCCTTTGACCTGTGATGAATGCCAGACGGGTAGTTATTACTATTATCATAGTGGGAATTTACAAAGAGCATTTTGTCTTAATGAATAGGCTCTATGGAGAAGTTCATGATACAGCAAAGTGAAAGAAAATAAGCAGAGAAATATGAAGTTCTTCTGAGAACAGGGAGGACATACCAGAGAAAATCTGAACATGAAGAAAGGAAATATGGTGTAAATACACAAAAGAATTAGGAATGTGGGGAACAAGAAACACAGATCAAACTAATAAAGACAATGATAAAACGTTATGAAGTGTTAGCTTCATATATCAAAGACTTTTTCTTTAGAGGCCCATCGTCTGTGTTTGAACCTGATACAAACCTGGAGATGACTTCCTTAACATCAAGATCAGAGTACTGGCTCCATAAAATATGACGAAAAAAACTTCAAGCTGTCCTGACTTAAAATAATTTTGATAAATATGAGACCTACGTTATAAAAATAGATTATTTGATTGTTTTTTTAATTATTGTAAAATATTCGATGCTTCTAAATACTTGTGTAAAAAAAAGTGTCCCAGAATCTGCAACGGTAAATACCTCATAAGTCATAAAGAATATGCATTATCTTATTATTTGTTCTTATTATGTTTTTGGTAAGCAATTTTATAAGATACTAAGCCATCAGTGAAATTAGCACAATTACAGCTTTTAATAATTTTCCATGTTACACCATTCTTAGTGAAAACTTCATTACACAACATATCAGTTAATTAACAAATAAATCTACACAGAGACTAAACGACCTTTATTGTTAATATTTCACTGCCTCATATGTTATAAATGAATTTGTCGTATTAAGTAGAATTTATGCTTAGATGTGTTTTTACAGTCTTTTTATGTGGTACGAAAAGGATCCTGATTTTTCCACGGCATTAAACTTGAGCATTAAACATACTGATTCACTGTCAGTGTAATTTACTGATATTTCATGTACTTCAAAAAATACAGTCAATTTGTGTATCCATGTTTGTTTATAAAGCATTTTAAAATAGCCAGCACACGATCAAAGTGCTGTGCAGTAAATAAGTTAATAACAATAGAATAAAATGAAACACATAATACATAAAAATTTGACTTAAAACACCCTTATATTATTTTAAAAACCCCAACAACATAAAACAACGTAGAAAAAACTAAATAAAATATAACTAAATAAAACTAAATAAAACTAAATAAATAAAATAAAATAAAATAAAATAAAACTAAATAAAATAAAATAAAATAAACCAACACTGGATCTGCTACAGCAAAAGCACAATCAGGGGCAGCTGATCAGCTGACCTGAGAGCGGGTGGGTGTATGAGGCTGTAGCAGCTCAGAGATAGGATGGGGGGAGGCCGTGGAGAGCTTTAAAAGCAAATAAAATAATTTTAAAATGAATCCTAAAAGAAATGGGCAGCCAGTGAAGTGAAGCTAAACCTGGGGAAATGTGCTCAAACTTCAGACGAGCTGCAGCGTTTTGCACCCTCGGTAAATGACTTCAGTCCACTTTGACCCCCAGGTTTGTGACAGCTGGCTGAACATATTGGGTCCAGGTATCTAAATACAGATTGGGGTTCTCAGTGGGGCTACCAAACACCATCACCTCAGTCTCTTTATCACTGAAAGTTAAGCCTTAATGTCATTGAGACACTGAAGTGATGGCTGTGTGGAGTATTTGTTCTGTAGAGGGACATAGATCTGATCATAGATGCTGCGTTTTCTCATCAAAGAGGAAGCAGATACAAAGAAAAGAGGAGGAGCTGAGAGCTGAGCACAAACAAACACTGGCAGTGACAGACACACACAATGTGTAGAACCAATGTTTGCAGCAGAGAGGGTTATAGAGACCACGAAGGCCATGGCAGCAGCTCAGGTGATACCTGCTCAGTGAAGTGTGTGGAGATGTCACTGGTGTCTATGACGTGTTACCCACATGTAGTGTCACTGGTGCCTGAAAGTTTGAGGCTGTAGCAGCTTCATCAGTGTGTTAATCAAACTGAGAGTTTCTGTTCCAGAACAGCTTCAATAAGCTCAACTTTGTGTGAGTACGCAGAGCCATGACCGGTGGAGCTCCACCACATTTCACCATAGCAGTGACTTCACTTTAACACAACATGCTGAAATAAATACAAACTCTTTGAATAATTAGTCAGTAAAACTGAGAGAAAGTTATTTTTCTATATATAGAATAAGATTATTTCTGGTTGTACTGGATAAAAATCTGTAACAAATATAGAGAAAAGTGCTTAAATAACTAATATCCAACCTTCACTGACAGATGGTGCGTATGACTGCTGGTGCTCATAGTTCACTGAAAACAAATGCAGGGAACTTTCCAGGTCTTTAGTTTTATCAGTAAACGTGCTGTAAGAAGTGCCTTTTACAGAGTTTAAATATTTAATATAGTTTTGGGAGATCGAGCCTGGTCTTGGCCCGGCACATTGCACACACTGTTTCAGTATTCACAGTGTTTGTTCACACAGTTGCCTGTTCAGGCCGGTGTTGCCCAGCAGCTCCGCCGTCAGCTGCCAGCTCATCTCCCTTCTCCTCCAGGACATCCATGTCTAGACGAGACCAGATCTAGACAGGATGAGCTGGGAAATGACCAGAGCCCAACTGAATCTGGTCTGAATTTGTGACCCATCCATGCCGTGCAAGTGGAATCTGATTTAGATGAATTTCAGTGGATTTCCATGTTCAGACTTCAAAATGTTTTTTGATATCATGATCTACAATGGAACCTCGATCCGTGAACACATGTCAACATGAGAAGCTAGCATCACGAGAGTTAGCAGGATGGAGACTACATCGATGTTATTCTGAGCTGTTTCATTGCAGGGTTGTTATCTTACTATATAAAGATCCTGGAAGCAACTGAACTGAGGGGATGATTAATCCATGACTGCTGATCTCTGCACACAAAATAGTAAACTAATATCTAATTGGCATTTTTGTAAAAATATAAAATGTGAGTTTGGCAGAAATGAATAAGCAGAGATGTCTGTCAGCTGGTTCACTCACACAAACTTGTTAGCTGAGCTTCCTGGAATAGATCAAAGAACGGGCTGCCTGTCAGAGTCACTGTGATTATTAATGTGGCAGAACCACAGTCAGGTGTCCGAGTGGACAGGAAAACAAAACAAGAGCTGAGCTCGAACCCTGAGATCCACAATCTGCAGTGTGAACAACCTGGAGCACCACCCCAGGACCGTGACAGAACCAGCGAGTGAAAAAGCTAATCTTGATCTGCTTATCTCATCCCATTAAGACAGTGCTGTGCTAATCCATCGCCATGGTAACCTACATTACTTAATGCATGTCATTTTAAATGAGATTTGAAAAAGATTCAAATAAATAAAGCTTGCACTTTTGAGACCATTGTGTGCTCAGCTCTGTGCTCTGGTTCAGCAGCATCCTGAGAATAATATCATTACCTGAGAGATTTAGCACAAATACCCGCGTCCACGTAACAAGCTTGTTCAAACAAAGCCTCCCTTTGTCACGGCCCTGTGGGCAGCACAGATGGAGGTAGATACAATATTATGTAAAAGTTCAGGTTTCCTTCTCTGTGGTCTGAGCTGCTCACATCTGAGGATTTCTTTAAAACAGCACGATCATAAATATCTTAAAACAAGCATTTTACTTTTAACTTGTGCTGAAACGCAGTTTCTGCTTTTGTTTGTAAAAGAGTCTGAATAGTGCTGGTGTGCTATGTTAATCTGAGCAGTCTCCCTGGGTAAGCTGATTATCCTGCTGTTTGTTACTGAGAGCTCAGAGCTGTTGCAGCAACATTCACCTCCCGTTCTTTACTCACAGGAAAACTGCTTTACACAACACTCACAGCATAAACATGAAGCACGCTGCTTAAAACAGTTATTACTCTTTACATTACTCCTCTGCGAGATAATTTCTTTCCAGTATTGGATCTCTGACAGTGACCATACTGAGATATTTATCCCAGTTCAGCGAATAATGGGACACATTTAGTTGTGTTAGATTCACCTGAACAGATAGCTGATGTGCTCGTGCATTCACATGGGAGAGAAACAGGAATTATCATACAGAGGATGTTCACCTGTACATCTCTGTTAAACACAGTCCAGATTTATTCAGTTACATTAATTATAATATGAAAAAAGAGAAACAGAGATGTAAGAGCTACACTTACACCGTATCGTTCTTTTGGGGGTTTATTTCTTTATTTCCTTCACCCACCCATTTGTTCATGAGTGAAGCTACAGTCTTTATAATGTCCATAGATCAGCTGCAGGACAGGTGATGACTGGTCTTTGTGTGTGCAGGCAGGAAGTGATGGGCAGAGCATCGGAAACTGTCCTTTCTCTCAGAGACTCTTCATGATCCTGTGGCTAAAAGGAGTCATTTTTAATGTCACCACAGTCGACCTGAAGCGGTAACACGGTGCAGACGCACACACGTATTCATACAGTGACTATGATACACATGAGAGTTACCACCTGACTTTTGGGTTATCAGGAAGCCGGCTGACCTCCACAACCTCGCTCCAGGGACCAACCCTCCTTTTGTGACCTTTAATGGTGAAGTCAAGGTTGATGTCAACAAGATAGAAGAGTTCTTGGAGGAGAAACTAACTCCACCCCGGTATGCAAGCACACATTCAAAGATATGCGTTTGCGATGGGAAGCCGTGTTGAGGTTAATTTCACATTTCTCCATTTTGTCTGCAGATATCCCAGACTGGCCCCCAAACATCCTGAAGCTAACACAGCTGGCATCGACATCTTTGCCAAATTCTCAGCGTACATCAAAAACACAAGAAAAGACACAACAGCTGGTAAGAAGGGACGCAGTTAGGTTGGAAACATGTATTCAAGAAAGTTAGTAAGGTGTGTGTGGTTTGTTTGTGGCTGCAGCATTGGTCTGTGCTCACTGACCACAGTTTTCCTGAATGCATGAACCACAGTGGTGGACTTACAGGTCATGGCCAATGTTCCCTCTAAGCTGCGCACATGCACAATTGTGCTCTGCTGACACGTCTCTGCACACAGAAAAAAAGTCTAACCTGAATTGAAATTAAAATAAATGCTTTAACAATTCTGTTCTGCAGTGTTAGTCAGTGACTGGCTGCTCCCGTATGGGATCAGAACGATGCCACCTTATCCCAAAGTCCAGCCAATGATGCGATTCACATTCGTATACGCAGCTAATCAACGTGGCTGACTGACAGCGTCCTTATGTGCGACACCGGTGTTTTAGCAAAGCGGCTGATGTGGAGTGAAGTTAATGACAACGTGAACAACCATTGGAGATGTGAGCAGGACAGACGAACAACTGACGGGAAAAGTGTGGACTTTATACCAGTTTTTAAATCGTGTTGATCGGCCAGTAAAACCAGAGTTATGATAAAATATCTGCAATGTTTGTTTTTCTTCCTGAATACTGTCGTTGTTTATATTTACTGCAGGAAGAAGCGGGAAAAATGGCGTTTTATAAGGAAAACGCTCGAAAGCCTGAGAGCAAAAACAAACACCTCAGCCTTTCCTATTGGTGGAAAAATGCACCATGTGGACCAATCAAAGAATGATATGGCATATTAGGTAAACAGCTGCAAAAAACTTTGTTTGCAAAACTCAGTAACCTTTTTGAAGAAGTAACTATATAATTAATTGCCCAACATTGGTCATTATTTACTGTATTTTGCAGACAGAGTTACAGACTCTCTCCCAGACCACAGACTCATCATACAGTCAGAGCTTTATAAAAATAGAAAGTTGTGTTTTCAAAATTGGAGTTGAAGTTATTTTTACTTCCAGTAGTGTGAACATGCTACAGGTCAACAAGCAGTTAATTAAAAGTAGTCTAACTTAAACGCTGTAATTTGATTACTTTAATAAACATGTAACTTGGATGATTGGATGCTGGTGTGACCACAGTGCACACGTCTGCTGCTGCTCACAGTGGTCCAAGGAGCTGTGTGCTCAGACACATGAAACATTAGAGGGAACGTTGGTCATGGCCATGCAGTGTTATATAGATGTTGAACTATATTGAACTATACGCAGACTTTTCCTCGTTTTATATTGGAAAATTGAAACTATTTAAACTAAAACTGTTTTCCCATGCCGTACCTCTGTGGGGAAACCCTCACCATAACTCTTCTTCTTCTTGAATAATCAGGCTCATGTGGCAGAGCTCATGGTATCACCCGAACAGAAAACCCTCAGACTGACTCACTTGTGCTTCTCAGGATATTTAAAAGTAGAATGGGAGGCAGAGGCTGTTGTGTGGAATCAGCTCCCAGTTTGGATTCAGGAGACAGAGGCCCTTTTAAGATGAGCTTAAGACTTTGTGATAAAGCATATTGTTGGGAGCTAGCTCAGGTGACCCTCAGGTGCCTGCTTTGCAATCTTTGGCTGTTCTGCTCAAACCTTTTTAAAGGAAATTTAAAGTAATCATATATTTTTTGAAAAACAGTATTCAATATGTTTAAACTATAAATGATTTGCAAAAAAATCCAAACAAAGCTGCAGTTATTTGCATTTTATTAAAAGTCTGAAATGGTGAATACTGGTGTGTAAATAAGGAGCTGGTTGTTGTTGAAAACATCAGTGTTTGTTCAGATAGCTTAAGTCTGTCATTCACATCAGCGTGTTCTCTGACTGTAGCCTTACAGAAAGCTTTGCTGAAGTCTCTTCAGCGCCTTGATGACTTCCTCAGGACTCCCCTGTCTGAAGAGATCGATGCTGATGTCTTAGGAGATGTGCCAGAGTCAACCAGGAGCTTCCT